CCTCACTTGCCAGCTGTTGACTGCCAGGTTTTGTCTGTTTTTTAAAATGCTTCCAGAAGTTATGCTTTGGGGTTGGGTCTTGGCCTGGTGTGCTAATGCAGACTCTCAGAAATATGTTGAATGGTTGTTCTCAACAGAGCAGCAGCTGTCATCATTTGCAATTTTAGTGTTTAGGGAAAAATCAGCTGATGCTGACATTAGATCACAAGCTTCTCTTGATTAAAAAATAATGTTTATACAAAAGATAGTGTCCTCTGTTTGAACTGCATTTCCCTTTCTATCTCCATTTTTTTTCTCACCTCCTACACCTTCACTCTCGCTCATGTTCAGCTTGCTCTTTCAGCTGCTGGGGATTCCTTTCTAGAGACTGAAATAAGTTAATCTTTAACATGTAAAACATGTTGAGAGAAACATCACCTAACAATACGGACTTCTGGGAAGCATGTTGCAGTAATTATTTTGTTTGAAAAATCCTGAAAGTGTCTAATGGAAAGCTTTTTAACTAAATAGTTCCTCCTCACAGCTTCCGTGTCTCATAAGGTTGTAAGATAAATGGAGCTTGACCTGTAAAATGGTATAAAAGTTTGTGGAATACTTAAATCTTCTAACAGGTCTGTTGAAGAATGTGGTACTAGCCAGTCAGCTTTTAGAAATAGAAACTCAGAGAAATATAGTAGTTGCTATTAAACTGAGAACTTACCCATGATTGCCTACCTAGTACTACCAGATGCTACAATTATATCTAGATAATCACAGACAACTAACAATAGTATTTCAGATTCTGAAACGCTGTTTGGTGAATACTCACTGGTAATGAGTAAAATGCTGTCTTACAGTTAGTTGCCTGTGGGGATGGGTGTATGAGCTGAATCTGGATTAGAGAGCAGCCAGCCATTATGTGTGTGTCATCAGAACTGAACTGCTTAAATTTTTGCTGAGTTCAAACAGTTGAACCAAGCACCTTCAATCATAGCTTAACTTAGACCAGAACTAAAAGTAGGTTAAGCTCTTGACTGTAATATTAACTTCCAATGTAATGTAGTAACACTTTCTTCTTTGATTTATCTAGTTTCAGATGAAGTCTTCTATCCTGTTTGAAATAGTGGGGGTGGGGAAATAAATACAATGTAGGTAAACTGAGATTTTATATGTGGATTTTAGGATGTTAATTAAACCTTGCTTTTACTGTTCACAGAACTGCTACAAGGTTTTCAAACTCCAGTGGTAAAGACACCCTGAGGCATGTTTTCCAAGCCAAGGTACTTTGGCTTTAGATACCTGAATTTGTCACTGTGGGCTTCTTACAAAAAAATGTTCTGACACAGTTGAGTAAAGCCCTGGTTTGAATAAATATGCCTCAATGTTGAGTAAGGATTTCATTGTGTATTCTTCTGGCCAGAGGAGCATGGTCACTGTCAAGTTTGTGTGCATCCTTAATTCTTAACTGCCTATACTAGTGAGTTTTTAAATAGTTTTGCTGAAGAGCAAGCCTTTTTCTGTTTACTGGCATGGGAAAGGATAGTCCCATAATCATCCAGTGGAATAATCAGCTGTTTCCTGTAGGAGTTACTTCACTCGTATCAAAATACTGTAGTGATATCAGTGTTAATTCCTACTTAAGTAGGGATGGCAACTCTTACCTCTGTCTTATGTGATGGGTTTTTTTATAGTCTCCAGTCTGCCTTGTTTGGGGTAAAAAAAGGTTGGAAAGCAGAATTTTAAAAGCTGTTCTACTTCCTTCTCCCATTCTTCTTCCTAATGCCTACTTTTACACTGTATGATGGTAAGGCACTAATAGAACCCACAATAGTATTTAAAAAAATAGGCTTTCCCAACTGAGAAATGTATCTCTTAACATTTCAAAATGTATTGCTGTGAACAGTAGTCAAAGAACAAAATAGAGCTGCAGAGGGAAAAATTCTGAAAGAATAGAATATGGCTGAGGAAAATTTAAAAGACAGGCAGAATTTTTTTAGGCACAATCCTGCTGGTTTGTTTTTTGGAAACAGCAATGAGAACTGTCAATGTTCAGGAAATGCTCAAAACAGACAAAATGTATGACATTTCAGTTTCTGTGTGATCTGTGTGAAGACAGACATGAGAGTTACTTTTAAAAGCATGTGAATCTTCTCAGAGAGCTTTATTAAAGGATGTATTCTATAACCCAGACCCTTACTCCAGGATGTTAAGAGGAAAACTAAGTATCTTTTCCTAGATTAGCATTTCCTGAATGGAAGATCTCTACAGGTTAAATTCTGACAGACAAAACAATTTGGGAATCAACTGATGGAGTCCAGTGGGCTTGGAGGACAGTATCAGAGAAGACATAAGACTCAAAGGAGAGGAAAATATAACTGGTGGCTACTGAGGAAGAATGAAGAGGAAAGCAAAGGCGTAGAACAAGAGAAGGAAGCAAAATGCCTGAAAAGAAACACACTGAAGTAATAACAGGGAACAGAGGGTAGAAGAAATGAAGCAGAAATGGAAACATTACTGGGTTGAAAAAAAGATGGCTAACAGGAAAGAAAATGAGATTAAAAATGTCCCACAAGTGGTGCATTTTATGTTTTGTGAAAAGCACCCACTGCTATGAACTTCAGCGTGGAATACATGTGGCATAGCTCTTGATATTTGAATTAACTGAGATTACTATGTATATATGTAGAGGCCTAAGTAAGTGGTGTTCTACACTATGTGCTTTGATAGCAATGGTTATACAAATTTCAAACTTGGATGGTGCCAGGCAACAACTGTACAACTTTGGTGTTCATCATGGACCTTGTTTGTTTGTTTCTCCTGTTCTTTCATTTAAAAGGCAGTGGCTTTTAGCTAGTCTTTGAAATAATACACAGTGTTTCTTAGGTCATAACTTGTAGTTTCCTGTTACTTTGGGTCATGAGACAAAAGAAGCATCTATATGCTAAAGGAGTTTCTTGAACTGACTTGCTAGAACTGCTGTAATACAGCTTGACACTGTCTTTGCCAGCTCTCCCTTTTCTCTGTTACTATGCTTCTTGAATATCAAAGAAAAAGGTGTAAGGCTGCTTTGTATCCCATGCTCTGTGGTCATATGAATGTTGCTTTCTCCAGCTTACAATGCTACCATTTGATGAAGTAAAACTTCAGTAAAGAAGAACTTAGTATTGCAAAAGTACTGTATATAGATGGGACTATCAATTCAGCCAACATGATGTTTGAATAAAATGGGATTATTCAGTGGTAATAAAGAAGCTTGCTTGTACTATTATAAAACAGTACTCCAGTAAAACTTGGACAGATGGATCCTACAGCTTGGATAATGCATAAGTTAATATTCAGACATGAGCTGGCAATATGTGCTTGCAGCCCAGCAAGCCAGCTGTATCCTGGGCTGCATAAAAAGTATGGCCAACAGGTCAAAGAAAGTGATTCTGCCCCTCTGCTCCGCTCTAGTGAGAGCCCACCTGGAGTACTGTGTCCAGCTCTGGAGTCCTCAGCACAGGAAAGATGTGGACCTGTTGGAGCAGGTCCAGAGGATGGCCACAAAAATGATCAGAGTGATGGAACACCTTATCTATGAGGAAAGGCTGGGAGAGTTGGGTTTGTTCAGCCTGGAGAAGACAGGGCTCCAGGGAGACCTTATTGCAGCCTTTCACTACTTAAAAGGGGGCTTATAAGAAAGATGGAGACAGACTTTTTAGCAGGGCCTGTAGCAATAGGACAAGGAATAACTGGTTTAAACTAAAAGAGGGTAGATTCAGACTAGATACAGGGAAGACTTTTTTTTTACAATGAGGGTAGTGAAACACTGGCACAGGTTGCCCAAAGAGGTGGTAGATGCCCCATACCTGCAAACATTCAAGGCCGGGCTGGATGGGGCTCAGCAGCCTCATCTAGTTGAAGATGTCCATGCTCATGGCAGGGATGTAGGACTAGATGACCTTTAAATGTCCCTTCCAACTCAAAGTATTATATGATTTCAGAAAGAAAAATACAGTTGTCCAGTAATGTCTTCAGAAATTAATAATAAAAGCTTGATAGCCTTTAAACTTTTAGCCTGTTCTAATCAAATTGTACTTGACTGACAATAGGCTATTGGAAATCTCAGTATTAGAAATTTGCTTTGGTATAACTCATTACAGTTGATGAATGGGATCCAATTTCTCTGGAGACATGGCTAAGCAGTATCATCTGCCAAAGTTACCTGAATCGCTTTAAATCTATCTGCCATTGTATTGCGTTATAGGAGTTTTTTCTGTAGTCCTTAATCTTGTTTGAAATCCACTGTCGTTCTAATATGAGTGTAGTCTTTGAAACTTTTATGCAAGAAGTTTCAAATCTTCATTAAATTATTTTAGTGTACATGGATAGCGTTACCCAAGATATCTGAAAAGTATAGTTTGTAGACTTGTTTCTGTATCACAAGTTGAATTTTAATTCAGTTCATGAAACACATTGAACATCTAACTAATATGGTCAGAATGAAGCTAAACAGCAAAGAGAAAAATTTTAAAGCTTTTCCCTTTAGTTGAATATTAAACACTAGAGGTGTTAGTATTTTGTTTAATTATTAAAAATTTGGTTCCAATATCTGTAAGTATTTATGTAAAAGAAGCGCCATCTCATTGTATTGAGATGTGCTGCCCATATGGTACTAGCAAAGACCTTAGGCAATTTGGATAGAATTGCTCACACAAGCAAGGCCACAAGTGTGTTTACCTAGTGAACATGGAAATAGATTGGTATATGTGTAAGGGACTGAGAAGGTAGAGTATATCCAATGTGGACCCACCTGTGGGGCCAAGCCAATGAATGCAAAAGAAGAAGAGCCTGAAAATAGGCTGAAGCTGAGCTCTTAAGACAGAGAAGGTGCATTAGGAAATATCTAATCTCAGTAATGGAGGCAAAACATTTTGTTTATTAAAATAACTCTATTGAGAAAGAATGTATTGTGGATTAGGTTTGGTTTTTTCCCCTAAAACTGATAAGTCTTTTTTCTGTATGTTTTCCTTTCTTCATAGGGATTTGACAAAGGTTACTTTCATGTGAGAGGGAAGGTGCTTTCAGAAAGTAATGATTCAGCGATATATTTTCCTGTACCTTATGACCTGCCACCAGAACAGTATGGAAGCAAAGGTAAGGTGTGACTTCAGAAGAAAAGTAGGTGTGTTATATATGGAGCAAACTAATTTGAGTAACTCTGAGTCATTTGAACACTGCTATGTTCCAAAGCTTTATTTTAATATTTTTGTGGTATGACTGCATTTGAGATGATGCCAGTCCCACATTCTGCTTGCAATTTCAAAGAAAGCAACTATAGTCCTTTGGTTCTAACTTTTTCTTTATTGTTGTTTACGTTTTGGATCAACAACCTAAATATTATTTTTTCATTCCTCTTCCAATATATTTGTATGCATGAGGAAAATAGATATTCTTTATGGAATCAAAATGTTTTTCTGTAGAACTAATGGGGGAAGGAGCCTTGAAAGAGGAATGTTTGGAAGAGAGCAGGTGTGAGGAAAACACAAGCCTCTGGAAGTGGGGTGTGAAATAAATACTATAGAGCAAATGTGAAAGAATTGCTGTAAATCAGTAGAAAGAAGAGTTGCTTTTGGTCCATTCTATATTTCATAGTTTCAGATGTCATTTTCTTGAAGATCTGTGTTGTAATCCTCCTTGGAGTGGGTATATTTCATAACACTTGAAGAGATTCACAAAATCTCAATCTTCTCGGTTTATGAGACTCTCTCTAGAACATGCAAATCAGGAAAGCGATAAGTAAGTGCTGCTATGAGGTGATGATGGCTTGAAAACCTAAAAATACATTGAAGATAATGATGTTGATGTGCACCTGCAACATTTGGGAATAGTAAATTTTTATATTTTTGCTCTTAAAAACTAATGCAAAAAGATTGAAACTAACTTTTTTTTGAGAAGTCATGATTTAAAAAAGACATCATCTACAGCAGAGCTTGAAATAATAGAGAGTAAGAAAGGGTTCAGGAAAGATAGTGTTTATAGCCACTCAAATCTTTCGTAGATTTTTGAACTAACAAATTATGTGGGGAGAAAGACTGTTTAAAAGCTAAGAAGTAAATAGACTTATAGAGTATTATATAGTAAATAACAGTAAAGATGCATCATTTGGGGGTGACTGAAGTACCCCAGCAGGATCAGAGCCTGTAAGCATGATGCTTCCTGTAGTTGAAGTAAGAATGCTTCGGCAGCATCCTCTTGATCAGGTGGCCTCTTTGGTTTGTTGGCTTGACCTCTGATTTTTCACCCATAAGCTCTCAACCTGTTCATCACTGTTTTTCAAACACAGCTCTGTGCAGTCAATCCAATTTTTTTTTTTTTTTTTACATAGTGGGCCAACTCCCCCACACCTTTTCTTCCTTGCCTGTCCCTTCTGAACAGTTTATAGCCTTTGACTGCAGTGCTCCAGTCATGTGATTCATCCCACCACGTTTCAGTGATAACAATTAGATCACAGCTTTCTAGCTGCACAGTGGCTTCCAACTCCTATTTGTTATCCATACTGTGTGCATTTGTGTGGAGGCACTTCAGCTGTGCTGTTGACCATTTCACCTTTTTAGAGAAACAAGCCCTAGTTCCTTTGCACATTTCACAGGTGTTGCCCTGTTGGTTCCTAATGCATCAGCAGCCCCTGGCTCTTCTGTGTTGCTCAAAACTCCATCCCCTTCTGTCACTGAGTCTAGATTAAAGCCCTACTTACATGTCTGGCCAGCTTGTTGGCAAAGAGGCTTGCCAACTTGGTCAGGTGAATCCCATCAGCTCCCAAAAAAACTGGCTTCTCACAGGTAGATCCATGATTATAGAAGCTAAAACCTTGAGTATGGCATCAGCTATACAGCTAGGCTGTACAGTTCATCTGTTCAATATGATACGTGTTATTTCTGTAACTTGCAAAGATGATTTTTCTGCTTTAAAAGCTTACTACTTACCTAAAAGAATTCTTAAATGGTATTTCGGTTTTGCTAGAGAAAAATTACTGGCTCAATATAGAAATGATAATACAATCTATTATAGTGGCTTATTTAGTACAAAACATGCTACCCGTTTACGTACTGTTAATGTTGTTTCAGGAAGTGGTGGCAGGGGTTATGCCTGGTTTACTAGCTAACTAAAGGGGAAGAATATACTACAACCAGCTGTTGTGCTCTGGGACATGTATGCACTGTCTTCTTGTTAACTAATGCTCAAACTGATGTTTTCTGGAAGGTTTTTCTAAAGGGTCATACTTAAATTCTTGGAAATTTTAAAATAAAGATTAAAAATTAGCATCTGTGTGTATTCTTAAATATGTTATATATACTGTCTTCCTCGTGCAAAAATGTAGTTGTATAATTAATATTATTCTTGCTTTAATTCCTCCATTTAACCTACTGTGTCAGTGAGTTTTATGCATATTTCAACTAAATGTAAAAATTTTTTCCAAGTAACTTGTTTCACTTTTTGCATGGAAAGCTTACTTCTGTAGAGAACTCATTTGTCTGTACTTCAGCTTTTGGGTCTCAGCTTTCTCCCATGATATGAACAGATGTCAGAATTCAAGTTGTCTAGGCTTTGGCAATGGAAGCAAAGTCAGCTGCCTGTGCCTTTTCACATCTCTTTCCTGAATATTCTGTTTCAGTGCCTTAGTGTCCTGGTGGAAAAGATGTTTAAAGAATTCCCATGTTATGTGATGGACTCATAAAATAATCTGTCCTTAACAATACAGTTATCAATTCCCAAAGTCTCTGGAGTGATATAAACAGATGTATTTTAATAAAGTCTTGATAAGCAGAAATGCAAGTAATTAGCCTTTCCCTAAAGAAACCATATTGACTGATCCCTATAATTGAAGGAGAAAAGGCTCTGGGGGATTTTCCATGAACTCAGATTCTTTAACCATGGAAAAACAAAGTACATATCACTTTCATATAATCAGAAAACTCCTATCAGGAGCAGGAGGGAGGAGAAGCAGGTGCAATAGTGAACAGATAGATGGTCAGGAGCAGGGCCATAGATTTGCCATTTAAAGTTCTAAGTAGAAGATGGGTATATCAAAATGCATTGTTTTTTTCTGTACTTGTACAAATTCAAATCTTGGATCAGACATACTCTAATGTTAGAGAATTATATTATATAATGTAACAAAGTGAAAGAAAAACAGTTCCTTAGTTCGTGGAAATAATTTAATTGCAGAAATTATTTGTCATCTTGTCACAATGGCTTTCTGTCATATTAATTGGTGTTTATCAGATTGGACTGGACTTCCAGCATGAAAATTGTTATAGTGGAGTAAATGCATCTTGAAAAGCAATAAAACACATCTCAGGACATACAATGATAAACTCGTCCGTAAATGATGTAAATAATCTGTCTGATTTCAGCCATAATAATTCATGAGGTTGATCCACAGTCCTTTTTAGTCCATATGTTCAATAATAATGAAATAATTTGGTCCCTGTCCTACTTTTCTCTCACCCCATATAACAGAGAGAAAAAAAAAAAAAGGACTTGTCCACCTTTGCCTGGTTTGCCTCATTAGTCAATGGGTTTCATTCTAAAACTCAAGTTTAGGCAAAACAGGAAAAGAGGATCTCTTGGAGAAACAATGATGATTTTCTTCTTCTTCTGAAGATTTCTAAAGAGTATAAATTGAGGTCATTGTGAGACAGATAACTTCCTGGTTTTGCACTGTTTTTCTCTCCCAGAGGGATGGATTATCCTTCACTGAAACATAATCATAGGCTAAGCTATAGTTACTGAAGGATGCATTTATGTGCTTTAAGATGTCACTGGTAGGGCAATTATGATACATCATCTCTGTGACATATAACGTATTTAAAATTTTCCCATTGCTCTCATTTAGTTTTCAGCTGTATTTCAAACTTGCTCAGAGCCACATTTTACAATACATGGACAGGTAAACTCCATCTGCTTATGCCAACCATAGTAATTTGATCTTCCTGAAGGGAACAAAGAACAAAATTTAACTGGGTCTCAAACCATAGCTGGTAGCAGCATAGTCACTTCAAGTTGAGATGAGGAGTTTGTAACATTTCTTCTGTGAGAGAAATCATAGCAGAAATATTTTCATGTCAAGTAGCTCATTTTAACTACATAGGATGATTTAAAAAAAAGAACAAAAAAACCCCCAAAAAAAGAAAGAAACAAACAAAAAGCCACCAACAAATGACACTATAATGCTTGAAAAAAATATTTGTGGACCTAAAAATTGTCAGAAAGTAATGATTATGTGATCAATTAGCTCAATGAATCAGTGAATTACATGTGTTGTAAACAAATACAACAAATACTGTTGTATTATAGTAAGCTTCAGTATTTTGGGCTACTACATCTGTTTTTTTTCCTAGTGAGTTGCATTTAACTTTCTAGTTACATTTAAGTGGGATTAGATTTCTGCTTAATTGGCTCTGTTTTCTGCTTTTTTAGGGAGTCCTCGGCAGGTGAAACATCTGAAACATTTCTCTGCATTATTATTATTCTGCCAGATTTCAGATTTATTAATCTCACGCACTAGTTACAGAATTCTCTTACAGCGCCACTGAAAAGGGAATGACTTAAAATATATATTTATCGGCAGTTCTTTGAGCTGTGACTGGGTTACAAGGCAGGAATTTATATAAGCTTTTTCTGAGCTCTTAGTTCAGAATGCTTTGGAACTGCTCAAACCCTCTGGAAGAGAACCCCGTAAAGTAGGGGGGCAAGTAATTTCTGATAAACAAGTTATTTCTCATTCAGTTTTCTCCTCAATGTATGTATTTAAATCAAGGAAAGCAACTGGCTGTTCAATTGACTAGTAGTATAGAGAAAATATATGTGTATACAAGAAAATTAGACAGGTTCCAGCTCAGTTCAGATTAATCTAAAGTTAGAGTGAAACTACATCTTATTCTCTATATATGCCAATTATATGAATTACATTAGTCTTTGGTTATTTTGCTCTTTGTTGAAGACTTCTTTCCTGAGCCATTCTAACAATTTGTAAAAATGTATTAAAATGTATTTCAGTATTTTCCGGCAGGAAAATCTATTTTACCTTGGTAACTGGGGGCTAAAGCTGTCAAATCTCATGCTATGAGAGGCTGGAAGAGTGGTGGGCAGAT